AGAGAGAGAGAGAGAGAGAGAGAGAGAGAGAGAGAGAGAGAGTTGTTATAAATTAAATTATGTTTTATCAAATACTTTATATAATAAAAAAAAAAAACTTTATATAATATATATAATTATGTTGTAGATTTTATTTTTTCAGTTGAAATCTAGATGATATATTAGTCATTCTATTTGATTTATTTTATCTATTTAATTTAGCCATTCTCTGTTCAATATAAAAATTTGCTTGATAGAAATATATTTTTTTTAACAATCACCGAACAGTTATATTAACTTTATTTAGTTACTGAGAAGTAAAACTACTTAGTATCAAGACGTAATGCTTTGCCTTCAGTTACTTCGTACAAAAGATACTCAATACCTGAACTCAATTATTATTAAACAAAAATAAGATAATGTAGACATAATACTTTAATTAATAATAATCTATTAATATTAGACAATAACTGAACAAAAGTATATATAACAGTTAAATATACTTTTATTAAGAAAACCGTTTCAGGTACTGAAAAAAAATTCTTATCAAGTAGTTTCGTACGCAATGTTGTTATAACTAATACGAATACAGTAATACACTAAACAATAACTGGATGAATATCTTAAAAAACTGTATATATTTCTATCAGGGCTAGTACAATAATATTGAAAAAAAAATTTCTAAATCTAAATAATTTTTACTGTGTAGAAGTAAATATTTATGAAATGTAAACATATATTGTTAGATTATTGTATTAAAATAGATTACTTAGACTTAGAAAATTGTTTTCAGTAAATATATTTTAATCATTTTTATGATAATTAAAAATAGATTCATTACTAGGATTTCTTTACATAAATTATTGTTAACGATTCAGTAGACCATCCTGGATAATATCTTTCTCATTCGTACGTGACAATTATTGTTTCTGTGGAACACAAAGAAGCGGGATTACCATCGCCGCGGGTGAAACGCGTGCTCGGTCTAAGGGGACTTAATAAAAATCCCGTTTCAATAAAAGTAGATTTTGCCATAGGCGTACTCTATTAATCTGGCCGCGTAAGCGCATGATATCACCTCGTCGGTATTAATCCTGGGCTAAACATCCCTGGCGAACAATGTTCTCCTATTACCCGCCCATCGGTACAATGAAACCGCCATAATTATCCTGTTACGCAAATCGTCCCGCGTATCCTTCTCGTATATACGCGCTTGTGACCTTCCCTTCCTACCCGTTTTCGCCCCTCTATCGAAAATTTCCTATAGAGCTTCTATTGGTATTAATTAACTTAATTAGATGGGTTCTCTTCATTAGCAGCTGCCTCTCTCAATGGTTTCTGTTGACAAGGGAGTTACAGGGGGATTAATAACATGGGTGAGCACTGCCTTCTCTTGGATGAGCAAAATATAGTTGGATATTATCGCTGATTTTCCATAGTAGACTGATAAACGATAATTCGAAAGAAAGAATTGGGAAAGCCTGTGAGCTGTAGGTTTATACGACGATACACATTTACTGTTTAATGACGCAGATTTGCTCTGGAAATATTTAATACCCGCACGGGAGGGAATTAAATTGTAAAATAATGCGGCATTAAACACGTTTCATAAATTCAAAAATTCTACAAACGCTAACGAATGATATAGGTGTATACGATATAAAATGTTGATAAAACGATACCGATTCGACATTTGAACAATTGATGCACATTAATGGGAACGAGAGGAAACGTAAAACTATTTTTGTTAATATGAGATTGTTATTATCACTTCCATTATCACAATCTTCACATTTTTAATTTAATGCATATAACTCTGATCAATATAGAAATGGAAAATTTTATTCTCTGCTAAATTCGTTTTATAAATTAAGAATTTTTTCATTAATGCAAATGTATTTGCTGAATGATGACACAGCGGCAACAATTACAATTATATAAATTAACATTTATATATAATTGCTACATAAAGTTAATTATGACCGATTAAACCACAAAGCTGTTTTTGCTCTACTACTTTATACTCTTTTTATCTTTCTTTTCTTGGCTAAAATTAATTTCTGATTCATGTGTTGATAAGTGCCAAAAATTAAAACGATTTGTTAACAATTAAGTTACTCGACATATATAAATCGGATTGCTCACTGTTATAATCTACTTATTATACTAGCAACCCTTGATTTACTCTCCATAATTTTCCATTGGCTTATCTATAAACTATGCTTATCCCCCCAATCAATATTCAAAGCTAATTATTTAAAGCATACCGAAATTCAATTTTCATGGATAGCCAAATTCTCAATTTTAATATGTATGTAGTTCAGTGGGTTTTATTTTAACGCGATGTAAAGTTGCTGATCAGTAATATACATTATGATAGAAATTAACGTAAAAATAACAAGACCTTATTAACGAGAGAATTGGAACAGGACAAATTAAAAGTTGGTATCTTAAAAAGATGTACGTTGTCTTTTGCTGTGCAATATGTTATCTATTTTCGCGAATTTGTATGATTATTTCATTAATTTTGCGAAGATGTTAAATGGGATATTTCTGCACTTTATTTTGCGAGAATTGGAACAAAAGAAATTGAAGGTATTTTTAAAAAAGACGTTTTTTTTACTGTGCAGTGTGTTACTTATTTTGTAATTTATATAATCATCTCAATAACCTGCGGATTCGTCCAAATGAAATATTTCTCCACTCGATCTTTGCGAGAAGAAATATAATGGATAATATATCTTGAGGCTATATCTTGCAGTACATTTTTCAATCTCCAGTAAAAATTATTTCTTTCCCCATTGCATAAACTCCCTCCACGAAATCCTGTTCCTCGCGGCAAAAAGTCTTCGTCAGTCGTTCTATCCAAGTCCGCCCTTTCGACCCGGTTATCTATCAGCGTTGAAGGATTCGAGAAAAGTTCGCGCGCAGCAGAAAATACCAAGACCGAAGGGATATGCGTCCCGAGGGACAGACTTGGGATACTGTCTTCCCCTGTACATTGGGTACATCGAATCAGCTTGGCGCTTGTTATCGCTCACCATTTGATCTCTTTACCTTTTTCCATCAACTTCTTTTGTTCGTCGTCAACCATTCTGAAGATGACGTTCTTTCCAGACATTGCCCTTGAATATGATAAAGATCGTTACTCATAGAAAAGAAAAATGGCTGTGGCCAAAGGAAAAGTTTTTGTTTCTCAGGATATAATCGCTCAACACGGAGACTTGCGCAAAATTGATCGGTCGCGATAAAGGGTTAAGAGCACTGCTTTCATCTGTCTTCCATACTGAATAACATTAGAAATGGGAAAAAATATAGGAACATTGAACACTCATAAAAGGATGATGTGTAATAGATTTTTAAATCTACTTATAGAAATTTGTTACGATATCTTAACTCTTTTTCAATAAGCAAGTTTTTGAATATGTTAAACATTGAAATATTTACTGCACGAATTAATATTTCTATGAGAATTATGATCATAAATGTGATAATATATAATATTTAATAATAATTGTATCATATTATATATACATATGTATTATATTGTAAAAGAATTTATTATTTTGTATTATTATATTACATGATTAATGAAATGCACACATTATCAAATAGATATAACGTGTGCTTTCTGCTTTACTGTATAAGAGAGGAGTATTAACATATAATATCAAATATTTTAAATGAAATTATGATTAATTATGATTCCGTTCGGATGCGATAAACAACATTAAATAATAATTGTATGAATTTATTGAAGTTTCTTGTGACAGCAATGTATCTCGTTAAAGTTGCGCTAATAGCATCTCTCTCAGACTCTACACAACGAAAGGACAAAGATGCATATTCTAACTGATAAAAGGAGTCGCTTGAGTGACTTTCTCGAATATGTTTCGCCATGAACTAGCACAATGTAATTTAATCTGGGTTATTATTATTAATAAAAATTGAATGTCAGCTCAGAGTCTATAATGTTACATTAAATTCATAAAATTTATAGAGAGCGACTTCAATCATATTTCTGATATATTTAATTTTTTATAAAATCTATGATATTAATATCTGTACATATAATATTTAATATAAAATTACAGATATAGCTAAAGCAATAAATTCTGTTGACATAATTTTTTACACTTTTTCAATATAATTCTTGTAATTAACATTGAGTCAATTGATTCAATTAGATAATTTACACTTGACCGCAAGATTACTTAATTAGCTGATGTCGATAATAACGAGATTATTTCAAAAATTTATTATGTTTGCTTCTTTAGTAGTTTCTACGATATTGAATAAAATAAGATCGTTTAACGAATTCCAGTTGCATTATGCAGCATCCTGCTGGATTTTACGGGGACTTCCATTTCTCTTCTTAAACCCTTCGTAAGTTAAGTGAAGAACTTAAAGCTGCTTCGACCATGCTCGTAGACGAAACTCGTTGCATTTGCCAAAAGTATATATCTTACATTTTCGGCGAAAGTTCACAATGTGTAACAACTTGCAAGCGACGATCTGCGCACTGAAAATGCTTTTAAAACCGCGCTGTTTCGTCCCGGTTTCGCTGATCGTAACTAGTTTCAATGAGATTTTCAGCAAACTCGATGAAAAGTCTTTCCAACGAAAATACGAGTAAGCAAGCATTGAGCATAGCTAGATGATAGTTAAAAGCGCAGAAGCAAGTCGGCGTAATTACGGTTTTTCCGACGCACGGATGGAACGGTACTTGCGCAAGAATTGCGAAGTTTCGCAAAAGTGGAAAATTGTTCACGTCCAAGATGGGAATTGAGATATCTTCGTTTGAAATTCTCCAACTTTTCAAGTTAAATTCAATTATTCGTGCTCCCAATTATTTTCTTCCGGTGAAACGATTCAGGCACGTACAATATAGAAGCACGTTCATTTCGTGAATATGTTTATTTTAGCGAGCAATTTTTAATGATCTTCTTGTAATTAAGAAAATCGCTCTCTAAATGTCATCATCATTCGTGTCTACGTTTGGGCTTTCAGTACATCCCTTCATTTTAGGCATGAAAAGTTTTCCTTTGGAAAAGACCGCACGTAGTACCATATTCATGATATGCCTGCAATTTATTTCTGACTATAAAGAATAAAGACAGATTACGTTTTTTCTTTAAATATAAAAGTTTGATCGTTATAAGAAGAGTTTGAAATAAAAGACGCGAACGAATATTCGGCTCACAGTCGTGCAATTTTAATAATACGTTTATATTAAAAGTTTCAAAGTATTATATATCTCAAACTTAAAAAAAAAAAAAAATAAACAAGTATGGTGAAAAATTGTAGAAAATTTCTACTTCACATATTTGAAAAGATGCATCCTTCGGAAAGAATACTATTAAAATATATAAAAAAGAATGTGAGATATTTTCATACAATCTCTTCTATAATAACGTAGTTTAAATAACTTCTGCTTTTAAGCAGAATATCATTACGAGATTTTAGCCTTTTTTATTTTTAGCATTTCTATTGTAGAAAGTAAATGAAAAATAATATTCATGAACAGACTGAACGTTTAACGTAACAACTTTAATAACATCTCTTCCCTTTCTGGGATCAGTACGATTTTTATTGTAATAATATTCCTAGTGCCTATGCTGTATTGTTAGAAAAGTCCTTTGCCCAAGGGTGCGTGGCAAAATGAGGTCCTTCCAAAACGAATAGGATCCTGAGAAAGAAAATTTGCGTTGAGAATGTTTTCATGTTAGGTACACAGTATTCCTTGATTCTATAATAAGCGGTATTTTTAACAAGCTTCGCTAGTAATTGTATAATTCGTGTAATTCAAAATCATATTATACATATTTTTCACAACAATTAAACGCATTTTAAACGTATGTATGAAGAGATTTGATTGACATTTTTAATCATTATTGAAATTTCCTAAAATTAATAAAATTGATGAAAAAATCTGTATGTGATATAACTTTAACATGCACAATGTTCTTTTACATGCGTGAATTTGTACATTATGATAAAAAAACATATAGATAGTATATGTTTTAGTATTCATTGTAATTTATTATTATAACGTTGTATTATTATATTAATGTTTTATTAACGTTGTATGTCATAAGATGAGACGTATTACACGCAATGTAATGCCGCAAGCGTAACGTTTAATTAGTAAATATATGACCGTAGGACATGGACATGCTGCAGCTGTTCGCATCTCCGGCAGGTCGAGCGTTACTCACGAGCGACAATCGGCCGAGGGGATCAACGTCGACCTCTTCCTTGTCTCGAGAGTCCTCGTCGAGGCTAAAGAGTAGCAGGAGACCATCGGGTACCGGCACAGTCAGTGCACCCACGTCACCGCCAAGACGGCGGAAGTCAAGCGCCGAACTTTACAAGGAAGCTGTTGAGATCCTTGGCCTCACTTGCTCGCTGACCGATAGCTGCCGGTGCATCGATTGCCAGGTAATCATTTATTAATGATCAACATGACAATATTGACAATATGTATTGTGCTCTACTATAATCTTTTATATATAATCTTTTATGATATTATATAACTGTATCATAATATATGATATATTGGACTTGACATATTGATTATTCAAAAAAATTTTTACTTTAAATAAAATTTGTAATTTGTAATTTGTGTCTTTAATCTCTCTCTCTTTCAACTAGAGTTTATTTAAATAAACAAAAATATACGAACATTTATTAATACACAATCCCATAACTTTTATATAATATTTAACGAAATATTACAAGGCGTGACGAAAGTTATTTCACTTTTAAAAGACTTTTTATTTAGGTACAACTTGTAGCATTTACTTGTAAGCACTATATGTGCCAGCCATATTGCAAATTGACAATTTAGAATTTTATTGGAAATATTAATCGATCAAGAAATATTGAATTTAATTAATATTCACAGTCTATTCTTTCTTCTTGTAAGGCAATTACATCGCATATATGGTTGCCACAAACAAAATGACGTCAACAACTGTATTCACACAAATGAAGTTGATATTGGCTAGTTTGTGTACTAATTGGACAATTCTGTTACGGATTACTCGTCGCGGAACGAACTTTTTTTACTGCTCCATTTTGGCTTGCACTTTTAGATTCGTTAGCTACGGTCGGAAAATTCTGATTCGAGTCAGATTGTAAGACTGTTAATGTAAAAGCTATAAACTTTGTCAGTTATATAAAATTTTTGTTAACAAAATACACGCATAAATAAGTCTTTACTCTAAAAACTGAGAATTATTAATTAATGTTTCCAAACTAATATGTATAGGCTAAAATATGTTAATAATACAAGTATATCTTGTGAAATATATATTTTACTATTTTATATACTTATGTAAAGAAATAAATAATTTTATAATAAAAAAAAGAGAGGAAATATATTAATTTATTAATAATACATTATTCATAATACCGAAGTTTAGACCTAATTGATTGCTTGAATTAAATTAAAATACTTCACTATTGCACTATTACAATGTAATGATACTCGCTGTTTTTCTTCCAGAGCAACTACTTTGATTGCGACGACGATTGCGCTGACGCCGGTACAGAACTAGCTGCAGGCACTCCTATTCTATTGGACCACGCTCTATCGCATCATCTGACTGTGTGTTCCATACAGTAGCAAACGACCGGTAGACGAAAATTTCGAAAAAATCGGCCCCTTATTAGCCCGCTCTGCCATACGTTCCAGCAGAAGATAATGACGTCGACTTGTCAATATCTTTCGATAATTGCACAACATTCGTGTTAAAAGCAAAAATTAGCGAGACTGAAATCAGCGCGGCAACGATACTACAATAGAGATTGAATACTGGAAGAAAATTGAGTCGTTCGTTTTGCATTCCGCGAGTCTCCACCGAGAAGAGAGTTCGTGCAAATATTATATATTTTTTCCTTACCAAGTAATTTATCTCTTATACGATTATTTGCTCAATCGTGTTCATCGGATAAATGCGTCAGGCTTTATATATATATATGATCTATAAATTATTATTCAGATATTATCTTAATACGTTTGTCTCATAATAATACAGTATGAATATCGATAAATTTGTGATATCATACGAGGAGTGAGTTTTTGTAAATTATTTGTTCTGTATTACAGTAGTGGCGCAACGACTCGCACGTTTGTATTGTCGAAAATTGCGTTCAGAAATGATAATAAAGTACGGCTCAAAAATCGGACGAATTTAAATCATGCCAAAACAGCGCCAAAAAGTTTACAATAGGATATCCTAATTAATAATTAGCCTGCGCACACCGCATTCGTACCCCGTTCGGTCATCCATCATCGGATAAATGTATCGGTATATATTATCTAATCGGATCGCCGATAAGCGCGGTGTATATGAAGTCTATATACATACTCGTGTATTGTGTGTGTGTATATAGATGTACACAGATTATATTTACTACATGTTTTATTATTAATACTTTACTTAAGTCTAGCGAAATGCAATTGTTGAACAGTAAATATACGCGCAGCTGAACGAAAGGGCGATCCAGGCGATGGAAATAATTTCGCACGGCGTTATGTATAGACTTTACATGTATGTCACGCTGTTGAATATGTGTTCGATTAAGTTTTCTAAAATGAACCCCCTCCTATTGAGAACTCTACGTTGAGTAAAGGAGATGCGAGTAATAACATGGCGAGTAGGTTTTCTCAACTTGCAAAACGTGCGCGACGTAAAAACAAGTGCTCATTACAATGCAAAGTCTAAGCGAATTTTCTATTCGTTATACATACAAATGAGATTTCTGTGAAATAGTTAACAAAAAGGTTGAGGGGACTTCTCGCAACGTGTAATTGTAAGCGATGTAACGATAAACGAAGTTAGGCCTGAATTACATTGCGCACTTCGAGCTAGGTGATGCTAGATTAAGGTATGAACAGAAGAAAGCATCGTACTTATATGAAGGTTTAAAAAAAAAAAGCTTAGCGATATACTAACCGGGATTTCAAAGAGGGTCAAGTGCCAAATAACTTATTGCTAAGCTTGCCAGATAAATAATCGAATTGTTAAGGAAACTTTCGCGTGTACGTTAATTAAAATGTTGCGTTATATATTCGGACGCTCCAATAAAATTTTATACCGAGCTGGAACAAAATATTAAACTTTAGATTTAATCTATATAGGAATCTGGTATATTCTGCTCGCGAAACTTTTTCTCTGTGAATTAAAAATTTTATTGCCTTTTGCCAGAACATCACGTAACGGGCTTTTAAATTAACGTGTTATAATTAATTTAAATTCTATAATTTTTTCTATAATTTAACAATTGTACAATTATACAGTATTATTTAAGCATTCTATATAATTTCTAGAGTTATCAAAAAGTAAATACATATTTTAAGATGTCCATAAATAAAAGGGATATATACGGAATATCATTCAAGATACATTTAATAATCGATGAAGAAGCAATTGAAATTATAACTTTTATCATAATTAATTTAAGCTATTTAACATTTTAAATCCAACATTTGAGTGTTCCATTAGTGACTGTAATTGAATTAAATTATTCCTTATGTATGTATTATTCTCTTTTAGTTTATCTTTATTATTTAAACTTGAAAGTGATATTTTCAGAGAGACTGCAAGTATATTATAAACTCTGGGCGAGAGATATAAATCCAGCCTTTTCTCATCCAGAATTATGAACATACGAATTTTCGTATTTCTCGCGTAAAATGTAGAAAATTTCGCCAGACGATACGGCATTTTCGTTTTCTGTGTAATTTTATAATTTTGTAATTTTTCATAATTTTGAAATTGTTCACAGCTTTTTAAACTTTTATATTGCAATATCGTTACTTTTTACAACGAGTTATTTTACTATTAATATTAGATAAATAGACAGTTATGACCTATAGTTAGTCCTGACATCAAGTTTCTTCTAACTTGTTGAATAGATTTGCGCTCTTCTTGATCTTGAAACAATCGTCGCTCGTCGCAAATGATTTACCATAAAATCATGCAAATAGAATCTTTATAGAAACAACAACAACGTCTTCTTATACATAAAAAGATTATAATTGCGAAATTGTTATCGAAAAGATAAGTGTCTCTGATAATTAATCTTTTTATTCAAAAAATGCTTTAAATGCAAGTGATAATTTTTAAATCTCTCAGTTGGAATTAAATTATTATACATAAATAATGATTCTCATTAGCTATGAAAAAATAATCAGAAATTATGTTGTATTTGAATAATAACGTAATCAAAATAAATCTATCACGCTCAAAAAATTTAAATTGATTAATCTCGATTATAATTGTTAAGTGATGTATGCTATTCTCTATGAGTATATGTTCGTGATTTAATAAAAATCAATCAATGATAATGGATATCAGATGACACTTATCGATGTATCTTTTTTTTATCAAAATGACGATTATATATCTTTGTTAAGAAGATGCGCTATAGCAAAGTGTTGGTATGATTGAAATATTATCGATTAACGTTATTAAGTATAGATAGAAACAAAAGCGATCTTTAATTAAGTAGACGAAAAGTGGGAGAAAGCCGCGAAAATGAGATTTAGTATTTGCGATTAATGTATTGAACCATTTTATGAAATCTGAATATTTCTCCTTAATTTCACAGACAAATGTGGTAAATAAAAATTTTATTACGTTTGCATATGTTTAGTAATATTGCATAAAGTATATTTAGTACAATTATTATAACTAAATATTAGTATAATTAGAATAGTATTATTACATAATTAAAACCTATAAAATTAATTAATATAAAATTAATATTTTATATTTCGGGCTTTCTTCCACATATATTCGTGGCCAATCCAATTTTAGAATGCACGTTGTGTCGGATTGGCTCTTTCTCATCGACGAAAGTAACAGCGCAATTAATAATCTTTCCAGATATATTCAAGAGCCGCGAGAAATGTCGCGAGGATATATAAAGCGAAATCTCTGGCTTCTAACTATTTTATAGTAATATAAATTGCGAGGGAAATTCCGAGCAGAAGATCCTCGCGAGCGTACTCTTGAGTAAGAAACTACATTAAAATATGATACAATATACTTGACTCTCGTTTTAATCGTATTTATTTTTAATAACCCTTTACCGTCCTTATATCTTACAATAAAGATAAATTCATGGATCAAGAATAAGAGAGAATCTTAAATTACTGAATTAATTAATTATTATAAATAATAATAAGTGCTTATAAATATTATTGCATATTTAATTTCTATAATTTAACACTGCTTTATTCTCGAAAAAAAACTTTTGTATTAATTTAATTGTCAAAAAATTTGTCATGAGAAGGCTTTTCTATATGAATTGTGAACAGAGAAAATTTTAAATTGTCTATAATTTATTGTGTAGGTATTTTTCTATATTCAGTTTTTAGAATGATTTGTACAAAAATTAAAAAATAATTTTATGATGAGTTCGTATAGCTTTGTATAGACAAATTTTTCTAAGGATACATAATAAAAATTATACATTATGGCATAGGTGGAAATTGAAATGTACATATCTGCAATCTTTATGTTATAATTAACAATAAAACATAAATATTTTGCAAGAAGGTAGATCTTATTAACAGTCATTATAAATAATAATCAAAATTTGAAGTTTAGGAAATGAGAAAATTGGAAAAAATCTTGGTAGTCAAATCCAGTCTTATAAAGTAAAAATATGAAGAGCATAATTTTCTTAACAAAATTAAGTATGTTAAGATGCTATATTTCGTTTCTGTTTTAACTGTGTGTATTTAAAAACTTTGTTTTAAATATTTAAATAATTTAATTGCTCCAGAAATTTATATTTATCTGTAATACATAATCTTTACATTAAAAAAAAAAATTATTTTGTAAAATTTTTATATTTAAATATAAAAGATAACTTGCACATTCTAATACAAAACTCACAAATCATTCGGAGATGAATCAATTCAAAGAAAATCAGAGATATCTATATCAATTTTTAATTTTATGTTTTATAATGTGACAATTTATGTAAATCTTTTTGTAAATGATAACAAAAATAATTGTAACGCATGTTTCCATTTTATTAGTTGATGATAATTACTATTTATAGTTGAAGATACATATAGAAATTATTTTATCGGTCTGCTGTTAATGCAGTCTGTTCTCTTATCATCTGTGATAAGGTAGATATCTTCGCTATTATATGTATATTACAATAAATAAAAATAAATAAACGAACAAAAATTAATTTACAATTAATAAGTTATAAACATAAAATTTTAATAAAGTTAAGACTATTTTGCAAACATTTCTATTAGTTATTAATAAATCTATGAAAAAAGAAAAAGGCAAATTATAAACATTATTTTTAAATGAAAATCAATATTAATATTGTTAATACTAATAATATTAGGATTATATTATTACATATCTAAAAATTTAATAACTGCTGTTTAAATAAGACTTAATAAATCATTAAAAATCAATTTATTAATTTATTTTATTTATTGCAATAATTACAAAGTATATTTACAAATAAATTTTACTTGTTTTTTTAATTTCAACATAAATAATTATGTTTTTAACTAATGGTCATTCATAATATATTTGTTTTGTTGTGCATAAAATAGATTCTTCAAAGCTAGTAAATTTATTATTTTATTTTTATACTAATGTATTATTTATTCTCTGAGAAATTATTAATCAAAAGGCATTCGTCTCCATTCGATATTTTATCACATATGCCTGAAAATGCCATAGTGGACCACAGTGTCATTTTCGTGGTCGCTATATGCCTGCATCTATGTGGGATCATAGCAGATAGCACTTTGGCGAAGTTGAGGATCCACCCCCGCGTCTTCGGGAATGGGAGTAAAGCAGTCGGGATGTAAATTCGATTGGAGGCACCGGCTATACGGGATACTCTTATT